GGGAAGTTGTTTCGTAATATAATTTTGGTAGCAGGTGGATAGTTTAAAGACAATTTAAATAATTAATAGTATTTGACCCAGCGCCATATCCACGAAACAGTTCTATTTGATGAATTTACACAGTGAAAGTCTAAACTAGACCGGAGCAATGTTAAATTTATCGTCTAAGTGAATGTAAATAAAGAAAAAATTAAGTTGTGTTCGAATTCTGCTACACAGTCAGTACCGTGTTTTTTTTTACCCCGAGACAAAACGGTGGAAGAATAAATTCACTAAGACTATGATCAAACTGGATGTTTCCATGACAGTCATATCTTGACAGATATGCTTTGCTCCTGTCGAATTTCTTGCTAAAGCCCAAATTTATTTTAACATAGACTTATTAAATACCAATCCCAGCGCGCTGAAACCTCTGCAGGGTTCCCAGTACTATGATCTGGTTGTTAACTACGACATTAGGGTAAGGAATACATTACTTTGACCAACATGCACGACAACTGAAAATCTGCCTTCAAGGTATTATTACAACGCAGAAGTTTCTATGCGAGATTTTAAAAAAAGTCTTTACCCCAATACAATAATTACTTTCTCAATACGTTACAGTCTGTCTGCTGTTACCCTTTACTACTGTTACACAAAATTTATTTACTACTTCCAATCAAGTCGTGTTTAAACTTTAAAAATGTATTTTGGCCAGGCCGATGTTCCTCATACCGAATGTCAGAACGGATGCTGTGGAAGCCAATCATGTTTAATGGAGGGACCTGTCACGAGACTTATGACGTCACAGGCAAGAGATTCATCTACTCATGCAAGCAACACTTCACGGGAAGATTTTGCGAAACCGGTAAGTCTGGTACATGCAAATACATGTTTTACTTGATTATTTGTCTGATATAGCTTGCAACCTATATCAACGTGGTCTCCTGCAATCTCTGGCATGTCGCTATTGTATCTGACGTTTTACGTATTTGCAATGGCTCTCTGTGTTATTTTAGCCAGTTTATAACATCAAATATGCTGCAATAGATTGATAAAAAGTCAAAATTGTTTGAAATACTTTTTAAAATCTTTCAATTTTTATCGAGGGAGATTAAAGATTTAGTTTCTTTTCAAATGTCTTTGAACATGTTTGTTAAGTTCTGTTGTTATAGAGATGATCGAAACACAAAGATGGCGGATTTATAATTTTCTGTTATTCAACGAGTCACTTGACAAATTTCTTTCTATACTAATAATGTCTGTCAAAAATAAACTTTCCACAGCAATATGTTCTACCTCAGACTGGCTCCTCTTTAATGATTCATGTTTCAAGGCGTTTAAGAAAGAGATCAACTGGTTCAAAGCTCAACAAAACTGCCGCATTTTAAACAGTAGTCTGACGTCCATACACAGTGATAAGAAAAACGAGTTCGTTCGCACTCGATCAAGTGGTCGTGTCTCTTGTGAATGTATGGATCGGACTTACCAACTTGGTAAACGCGAAAGCTGTTTACGAATGGGTTTATGGATCTGACGTGTCATTTACCAATTGGCAGCCAGGAGAACCGAATTTTATGGGTGGCTCTGAAAATTGCACTGAGTTACATTTCATTGGTCTTCATAACCGATCAATGGAATGATCTGAACTGCGACCTTGATAAACGTAGTTACGTTTGTGGCAAGCCATGGTATCCTTGAACCATTTTCTTTGCAGCTCTGAGACCTCCGGAGATGATAAAACTCATTAACTTTAGTTGCACGTATTTATTTGCCAGATGACTGGAGTAATTCCATATTTGTAAGTCACTATACATGTGCGATCAAGAATATATATGGCGCCGCCGTATGAGTGGCTCAGTTAAATGGCAGATAATTTTCCAAGGTTTAATTTATGCTATTATTCTACCGGCGGCGAAATGCAAAATCTGAGTCCATGCCCACACTACGCCGGAGAAATTTGAAAAGGCGTTTTCACTCTGAAAGGGATTCATATTTTTAAAGATCCACGCCGAAGAAATTTCGAAAAAAGTAACAATGACCAGCTACAACGCTGGCCCTGTACATAGTTTAACGGCTGAATCATCCCTACCGTCTTCAACACCGGGTGGACTTCTCTTATCGGAAGGGGATGATACGAAATGGTTATCAAAAATAGGCCTACTCTGGGACCTTAAGTTGCCGTAACGTAAGACGACTTTGGGCTATTTCTTAATTATTTCATTATTTTATTATTTTTTTTTTATTTTTTATTTTTTACTTTAAGCGCCTTAAGCAAAATTGGCCGATAAAAACATTGCAACTTTAGGCGATTTAACGCGATTTTAGGCAACTTAAGGCGACTTAAGGCAATTTTAAGCGACTTGAGGAGACTTTGTTTCACTCGAGTGATATAAATTTAAACTTACTAATAGCAACAGTCTCTCCATATGTCTCTTGCAATAAACCAATATTGCACCAATACTGGTACATAATTAAGTCACCACAGTCTCAAATATCCAGGGCCGGGTGGTTCAAAACCTGATTAAAGTAACCCAGGATTAGAGAGAATTTTGATTGCGGTTTTGTAACGGTCAAGTTTCTGTTTATCTTGTTTGTCTTTCAGTTTTGAGTTTGATTAATCTTAAACTACACAACCATAAGCGGTGAAAGATATTTCTATACAAAAAATACATATTACTTCTTTTAACTTTTAATCCTGGATTAGCGCCAACCGGCTTTCGAACAACCCGGGCCAGATTTCAAACCAGTTTAAAAAAAATACTATTAAAGAAAGAATTACCACAACACTGAACAGTTGCTATTATAAGGATAATAATAACAATAAATACCCGCAAGGTAGCATGAATATTAGTGAAGATATCACAATAAAAACCAATATCAAACAAAATTAATGAAATAATATTCACAGTGACAAAAATTTTAGATTTAAGATATAATTTGATTTTATTTGAAATATTTGTACATTTTCCATAATTCAAACAACAGGGAAATATAAATTACTTTAGCGTATTTACATGCATTTATTTTACAATGTTTCCTAAATTGTAAAAATGGTTATCTTGATAGACTTATCTGCCATATTTTTGGCATCTCCATTGTCAATTTTGACATGGGAGTTTAGCAAATGGTATGGCTTTCCAAAGTTGCTCAGTCCGTTTCAGGGACCCAATCGATTTGTTGCTCTCCTGCCTCAGTCAGACAAAACATCCCAATACCATAATGAGTACCGCATCCTATACATGAGTGCGCTGGAAAGATTCATCAGCACCAGCTGAATCTTATGAAAGTCGATCGTCTATATCAGATCGAATATCTCTTGGGTTGCAAATGCTGTTTCTGGACGATTTTGAATATACTGGAACATTATTTAGAAATGCATGTATAGGCATGTGATCATGATGTCAATTAGAAATTAATATTGGCATGACATGATCCTCTTCAGCCCTGCCTAAGTGGCACGTACGGCTGTGACCAGAGATAAGAAATCAATATTGACAATATTTTATTTTTAGTCAAAGTTTAGAAATGCAAACAAACCGCAACAAATATTGCAATTGAACATAATCAGACTCAAATCAATGTTCATGATCAAAAATTCCAAGTAGCACGAGGCGTACCAGTTGGTTGGTCTGGGACTTGAACTCGTCTCTACCCACAACAAAATCAGGCATGGAACACTCAAATCCGTTCCACCGGATTCCAACTGCAGCTCTCTAATCACACTTCCACGCTTTCTCTCATAACCTTCGATAAACTCATTTCTACAAAGATGTTAACTTTTGCACAACATCATATCTTTTACAGGGTATCTGGTACGCCCTTACAGCACGACAATGATCAACAACGTATTCCTTCTTAACATAGTAAGAGGAAGTCCAGTGTGCTACAGTGCGATTCACATCGAGTAACCAATCACTATCAATAGAGCAACAAAGATCTTTCATGCTAGTGGAAAACGCGCTGTACCCATGCATTGTTTAAAAGATTCTAGATCTACGTTCTAGAGATGTGTGTGACGGCTAGTTTCCACAGCTGTGGCCTCCAGTCAGCGATCACTTTAAGAATTTTATACGATGAAATTAGAACAATCCATTCCAAACGACTCCAGAGCTTGTTCATCCAAACACACGAGCGTGCCGCCATGAACCTGATGCTCGCTGAAAATCTTCTCTAACTGTTACATGTTAGGACCCCTTAGGCACTCGAAAACCTCAGGGGCTCTCAGTGTGCTTAAGTCCTGCGGAATGATAAAATTGGACTTTGAAGTTTCTTTCCCTGTTGCCTGGACCTCTTAATTTCTGCAGGTGTTTTTGGCTCTCAGTGTTCTGCTCCAGACCACTACTCTCTGTCGAGCGTAGTACTGCCGGAAGCGGCTTAAACTTTGTTGGTTGCGACAAAGTGTTTTCTTCTTGAGACGTTTTGGAGAAAGGCTGGTGCTTAACCCGTGGGGAGGGAACAGGTTGGCGATCTTTGAAGCTCGCAATGTTGTCTCGGCTGATAATTATCTACCCTGGGATGTGGGGTGCTTTCCTGAGATGTTATAAGTTGGTTTCAAAGTTTAACACAGCAAGAGGTCAACATGCTGATGATTGAATTGACTTAAAGTACAACTGCCGTGGCTAAAATGGTGATCTTATATATATTGATCGAACGTCACAACTTTGCACGCGGAGAGAAGTTAAATCTCCTGTGAAAAATAGCTGGCTGGACACTTCACAACTCGGCATAGCTGCGGGGACAAATTAAATTGCTCGTCTTTCTCCCAAAAATAATACGATTCGAAATGTGTGTAGGAATTGCATCGTCTTTCTCCCAGAAATCACCACTTCATATCTAGAAGTAATGTATTGTACACGACGCCACAAGCTTTCAGCTTTCATACATATAGTGAATAAATAAAGGCAACGTATCACACCAGAACACAGCTTTCTGATGTTCGGATAAGTAACTTCAATCATATTTCAATCAATTTTCCATTGGTTTCATTTCACTTTGCAATTTCATCTTGTCATTTTAAGAGTTTCTTCAATCAAGAAAAAGGAAAGGCTCTCTTTTGTTATTACAAACCGGAATTGCAAATTCCCGTGAAAACATTTGCTATTTTAAAAGGCCCACACTAGAAATATAACGAAAACTGACGTCCCTAAACATACAATGTTATTTGAGAAATTCTGGGATTGGCAAAATGTTAATTTTGCCATTTTTCACATCTCTTTGGACCTGCCACACCATCAAGTACCATGTCATATCAGCTAACATCATGTTGACTTGTGTAACCTAGTAACACACAAAGGAAACACCTATATTTAATTTCTGCCTTTAGGGAATGCTAAACTGAGCTTGACTTACTCAAATCCCGACGGGAGCTACACTATTTTCTTTTGTGAATACCTCGGAGTTGATCAAATCAAGACCGTCATTCCTACACACAAAGCTGGCTCTGGTAGCCGTCCCAGTAGTCGATATACCATCAACTGTGCTTTTAAGAAATAACTTCCGTATTTCGCGCCGTATTTCCCCAATACGCCAGCAATACCAGAGTGGGTTTAAAGAGCTGTTCACAAATGATAATGTCCCGGATACGTTAAATGCAACTTTAATAGACGTTGTAAACCCTGTGACTTGAAACGCTACCGAACAGAACACCATGGGACAATAACAAAACAGAAACAGCAAAAATACTCCGAGCATGGCATTTGCAGCCTTCCTCTCGCGTAGCACAGATTTTGAGACCTCTCTGCCATGCAAGCGCGCGGTTACAAGCGCGATGTCTCGAACAGAGTTTTGATGTCGAGATGCAATAGTGTAGATCTTCCAGTAAGACCAAAAACTGACGCTAAGGCAAGAAACAATCACAACAACGACCAAACAGGCAGCTGACTTGCTATCGAGAAACCAAAAGCGCGCGGCTTGGTTCAAAATAAGGTATATCCAAAAGCACAGGACTAAAGTAAGCATCTTCTTAGTCGTAACGAACGTGTGATATCTCAAAGGTCGAAACAGTGAAATATACTTCTCTACACCAATAGCTGTCAAAGTGAGAAACGACACTCCAGAAGCTGCCCAGCCTGTTATCTCTGCAACCAGGTGCGAAATGCAAAGACGTTGGAAGTCACCGTGGTTTTCACTAACTCTGGAGACAATGTATGCAGGTTGAGAAACCAAACCAACCATTACATCAGAGAAGGCCAAACAGCCTAATAAAACGTTAGCAGCCGTGTGCAGAGCATGGCTTCTCCATATAACAACGAGCACTAAGGCGTTTGCTGTTACCGCTACAACAGATGAAACCCCGTTTACAACGGAAGTTGCTGTGTTCGTGAAATACACGTAAAAAGGCAAATCGAGGTTAACTTCGATGAAATAACAGTTCTTCTCGACTTCGAAGGGTTGCACTGACTTTACGGTCGTAGTGGCGTTCATTTTTGAAAGTTAAACTCGCATTGTTTAGAAAATCCTCAAAAAGTGAACTTTCCCAAATCCTCGTACAATTCGAATCCAGTTCTTTAAAAGAAACGCTAGAGAACTGTCCTTATTCTAAATTCTGTTCAAGTCACTTTCTTGTTAAGTGGTGTGTGTCACAGCTAGCTCCCTCGATTTAACTCTACCAATTAGACCATTTAATCTAACAAGCCAGGATGATCAAAGTATTTCTTCTCCATTCTATTTCCAGGCGTTTTTTCTAATATGAGTATTGAGAATTGGTATTACATCACGGCAATGCCTTCTAGTTGATGATCTTCTTAATTCTTATTACATATTCGCTTTACAATGTAATAATTTCGTAACAAGAAGTTACATGTTGATCACTATCACAGCTTGAAGCGTTATGACAGGTGATGTAAAATTTAATTAGAGTTTCGTAAATTACATGTTTATTAAAATTTCAATGAAAAGCGAAATACAGCTGCACTATTCCAACTTTACAAAACTTTAATAATTGAACAGGTAACTCAGATGAAAAGTGGAAATAGGAGAATTCGAAAATGCCCCAAACGAGCACGACTTCAAATACGGCAAGTTATTCTTCCAAAATAGTTACGTTTAAAAAAACATTAAAGCTTTGAAAGTTGTAAAAGAAGATTACATGGTTTGAAGTTAATAGGACAGGAAAATTATGTTTGCCCTTGTGACAAATATATCATTTTTGAGTAAATGAAGGCTAATGAACGACTTTATAAAAATATATCAAATTTACAGGTGTGCGTAGCTTGTGTTCTATACAATTGCATATGAGCAATTACACCTTAAATCACTTTTTATTCAAACCTTAGCTTTTTCGGAAGTTTGGTTGGAAATGAATTTAACTGTCACATTTATTACTCGAAATGTTACTGAATTTATTGAAAAAGACCAGTACAAATACATATAAACAAAAAAGACAAGAGTACAATGGTTATGAACACCAAACTTGAAAAAGTTTTTGAAAAAGCTTCTTTTAATAAACTTGACATCCATGAGGTAAACAACTCCTTGAAACAACCAGCCAATTTAATTTTTTGCCATATACTGTACATGACATGAAGAAAGAAAAAAACCCAGAGCAAATAGAAATACACAGTATATAAACAGAGGCACAGAATCCTCCAGAACAGAAAACGCTCTCTTTAAATCGGGCAAAGGTGAGCGTTGTAAAAGGTTGTTTTTTATTATTTCTGGGACTACGTAGATAGAAATCAGTTTAAGCAACTGCAGCCTCAGCCCTAGAAATATGTTTAACTGCTGTTTAAAGGAAAATTTCAGCTGAAACATTTGAAGCACCATGTTGATAGATCGAATATGACTGTGACGTCACTCGATAGAAACTTGCTAACAACTAGACTTGCAATTGGAATCTGTCAGCAGTATGCTTCACTTTCACTTAAAGAATTTATAAGGTAGAAAATGTTGATCATCATAAAACAAGATTTCACCGAGCAATAGAGGGAAGAATGTTATCGTTAAGTGTAAATCTCAGTATGAAGGAAATCTTTATCACAGACCTATTGGATCAACCAATTGTTTTAGCTGCGGTTTTTTTAGGTTTCCATGCCCTTATGGCAGACGCCTTGGCTTAATGGTTAACGTCTTCAACTCCGGTTCAAACGCTGGGCTCCGCGAGTTCCAGTGTTGTCCTTGGCCACTTTCTTCTGTTCTTGAACAAGACAGGTTACCTTAGTTTGCAGTTCTTCTGTTCACCCAGGGTATTGAAATTGCAGAGACCGAGAAAAACGCTTTCATGGGGAAGGAACGACGATACCTACAAGGAGTTTCCAGAAGTTATTCATGGACTCAATTAGATCAAAGCTTGCAGGCAGATGTCATCCATAAACTTTATAATTCTTAAGCCTTAAATGCAGTACAATGCACGTTTTCCAATTAGCAAAGTACAGTTCTCGTTGTTCAGTGGCATATTAGCATACAGAATCGCCCAGAGCAGTCGTCAGGATAGCTCGTCATTGCCTAGAAAAAACAGTTAGTTTTCTTTTAGGTTTCCATGACCTCATGGCAGTCTTTGGCAGACGCCTTGGCTTAATGGTTAACGTCTTGAACTCCGGTTGAAACGCTGGGCTCGGGTTACAGTGTTGTCCTTAGCCACTTTCTTCCGTTCTTGAACAAGACAGGTAACCTTAGTTTGCAGTTCTTCTGTTCACCCAGGGTACGTACTGGTAAATTGCAGAGACCGAGAAAAACACTTGCATGGGGAAGGAAGGACGATAGCTGCAAAGAGTTTCCAGAAGTTATTCATGGACTTAAATAAATCAAAGTTTGCGGGCAGACGTCATCCATGAACTTTATAATTCTTAAACCTTAAATGCTGTGCAATGCACTTTTTCCAATTAGCAAAGTACAGTTCTCGTTGTTCAATGGCATGTTAGCATACGAGATCGCCCAGAACAGTCGCCAGGATAGCTCTTCAGTGCCTAGAAAACACAGCTTTTAAAAGTTTCACGACGGCTCTCCGGATCTCACGCATTCTCCAGCAATAAAAGGCAGGGTTGAGCGAAGAGTTGATGTACACTACAGTCACTGAAACACCAAGACCAACATGAAGATTGGCCGTGACTCTTCCTTCTACCAACATTATGACAAAGCAGCAGAAAAGTGGAGTGTAACAAGCCAGGAACAATACAAAGAGGTAGGTCATTGTCAAAGCTGTCTTAGTTCGTGATGCCACATCAACAGCTTTCCGTTGATTCGACTGAATATGCCGAGTGACATCTATAATAGCTCGTCTGTGGTGACGCACCAGCAAAATGATTTTTAGATGAATAAAACAATTGGAAACCAAAAGCAATGGTATGAGTACGTGAGCGAGTAGACCCAAATCTGCTATTAAGAAGCGCGCCAATGCTGATGAAACGGTGAAGATCCAACAAGATGCCAACACAAATACAACGCGATTCTTTGTGACGATGGTCTCGTATCTGAGAGGACGCATGAGGCAGATGTATCGCTCGATGCTCATGAAGAACAATGTGAGAAACGTTACCCCTCCACCTATGCCACCAAATGTCTCTGACAAGAACCAAAAGATACAAGATTTCGATAGCGTGGCATTCCTGTATCCTACTTTGATCATGAAACTTGTTTGCGACAACAACCCGACGAAAGTGTCGGAAGACGACAAAGAACAAAGCAAGAGGTTTTTCGGGGACTGCCGGAGTGACGGATTCCCCAAAATCGCGCACAAAACGAGTACATTGGAAGTGACTGCCGTTATAGAAGAGATCCCGTTTACAATGAGGAAGAAGATGGAAACGTCCATGGTATACCAGGAAATGACTGACCGTACATCCATAAATGAACAGAGCTGTTCTGAAGGAACTGAGGTCGGATTAATACTCGGTTTTATCACCATCGTTTGATTCCACAGCATGATGTGTGCTGTTGATGTGCTGCTGTCCTGCCTTGAGGGTACCTGGCTCTTCGAACGAAATCGATTGAAGACCTGCATACAAGGTACTCAGTCCCTACTAAATGAAATTATCAAAATGTTCTATTTATAAACAAACGTTTTTGAAACATAAATTATGTTTCCAATCTAAATACCACATTTCAAGATTCAAATTTTTCCCGAGTAAATAAAATTTGTTATTTTACGTGTCATTTGTCAGTTTTAATCTGAACGGCTTTTGATAACACAATCACAGCTTTACTTTTTAAAGGGTTTTTCATCGATAGCTCAAATGAAATTATTACTCAGCGGAAAACGGTCAATGAAACAAAGATGACACAGTTGGTGGTTCCCACGCCATACATGTATCAAATGGTTACAATAATCTAAGTTATTACAGGTTATGAGAATAATTAAGACGGAATCCACCAGAAGTTCGAGTAACAAGTCAACAAAAACCTAGCACCAAGATTATTTACATCGTATTGCAAACTTCTCTACGACTGTTTTAAATATCTTCTCAAAAAAAATCATTTCTAGCAACACCAAACGTCGAACACGAATGTTGAACTTCATATGAAACACTTGAAAGTACTGGTGAAATGAAACTGATGATGAAATTCTGCCTGTGTTTATTTTCACAAGTTCTCTGAACTTTGAAATTTATTTTCTCTCGTTCCCGTGGGAAATTGTTTTCGGTGTTATTTTAGGCACTTGTTTGTGTATTTAGCTTTAAGAAAATGTAAAAATGACTGCAAAATACTTAAAATTATTCTGGTACCCGATGTTTGTCCACTAAAACCTGAAATTGCTCGATTTTCGTGTATTGCATTTCGTCTTAAAAGCCTTACGGCTACTATAGGTCGCCGAAAATTTGCTCTCAGAAACGTATCTATTCAACGCATCTTCTAACTTTTGAGGCAGGTTATTAGATTTTCTCATATTCTCCAGATTAACTTAAAATCTTAAGAGAACATCTTAATTCCTTGTCAACAGTTCAGTTGAGTTTAGAAGACACAAAGAACTGATACATGAGTTGTAGAAATGGACCAAGTAAACAAGCAAACACACAAATTACATTTTTAATATGTTTTAATCTCATTTCACGTTTTTTCATCGATTTTGTACATATCTCACTTTTCTCTCGCGTCAGTTTAATTTATTGTCTCAAGAATCATTACTGCTCCTGGTCTGCAATAGATCCAGTTTATACTTCACTAGTTTTAAAATGTGAGTTTACCAACCCTGGCTTCAACTGAGTGAATAAATCCTGGAATTGAGTAATTTGCTAGGAGTTTATTAACACAGCAGTCTAATAAACGATGTAAAAATGCACAACATATTGCATACGACTTTGATATGACAGTTATCCACACAACAGGTACTAATGTAATAAGGAATATACAACGGTTACAGACCCAGTTTCCGATCAGTTTCCGGCCGATTTGAAAATAATTTCAATTTTGCAATCGAGATCCGTCGCAAGCAAAATATTACCAGCGATGGATCTGAGCGAACCAAAACGCAACAGGGCGCGTGGGGGTGCGGAATGTTTTGGTATCGCTCTCGCGCTCGAAGAACGGGAAAGAAAAATTTAACGTCTGTAGACATGCAGGCTGATGCGGTTGGTTGTAGAGATAACAGTCCATTAGTCATTAGCAAAAGAGATTGTATTGCGGTCATTCTAAAACCGAGCTATTAACAGGAGACAAAACAACGTTAACGTGACGTAGACGATTATTGACTCGTTTGACTGAGGAATAAAGGAAGACTGACAGTTTAATACCTAAACGTCGATCGAATTTACTTAGTGGCATGGAAATTACGACACATGCAGAAAGGAAGCGGAACACTTCAACTCTCTAATAGAAGTTTCGGCGCCGCGGCGCTGTTGCCTTGAGGAATTCTTGCACGAGCGTCCGTTTTGTTAGAGGTGAGTAAAATCTTTCATGGCTAATCAATTTGAGCTTTTCACAGCCACGTAGAACTTCCGTTGATATTTTCACTGAAAGGATCCGAAGTTTTTTCAGGGAGAGCTGTAATGGTCAACACATCAATTAATTTAACATGAAATTGAATTTTTCAGGAATAACAGAAGCCTGAAACCTTCGGTTGAGTTTAAATTAAGTATGTCCCATTTCCCGACCAGTTTTTCTTGTGTGCAAAATCGTTGTTTAACTCCATAAACTAATTTTCATAACTGAAAGTATAAATATTTAGTTCAGGACATACATATAATGCCAACAGGGCATTTGAAGTTTAGTATTTTAAATTCAAATTTTAAATTTTATTTCGCATGAATGCATTTTAATTCTCATTCTCAATTTGGAAATTTCAAATTAGAGTTGTTAAGACAATTCTGCAAAAGTCTCCCGCTTTGTTCAAAGAACGTGACAGCCAGACAAAACAACCTAGCTATAGGCAGAGATATCAGAGGCTAATTTCTTCTAGATAATTAAGAGTAACGAACTAAAAAGCTATGAAGTTATAATAATTTGGTAGGAGTCGAATTTCCTCGAAGGTCTTCCTTCTGAACGAGTGTGTTCACTACTTTAGACGCATGTGCGAAAGGAGTCGAAACTATGAACAAAATGAATACATCTTCCAAGACACTTCCAGGGTTTTCTGCAGCCGAATAAATTTTTCAAGAAGGTTCTAAAGTTCGAAAGCTCGATTGTCCCAAATAAAAAACATGAAACGAAATACTCTTGAACCAATTTTTTTCCATGTTCCTGTTTGTGTTCATTGTGCTGTGATAGTTTTCTTTTCTTAAAGGTCAAACGCCAGCTAAATATACCAGTGTTAAAGTAAAACTATTCTGATGTAGCTTGTTAAGGATTTTATTTTATTAACCGCGCGGCCATGGGCCGAGCGCGGTTCATGGTTTACCCGTGGTTTATTAATTTTTTTTTAACCGCGCGGCCATGGGCCGAGCGCGGTTCATGGTTTACCCGTGGTTTATTATTAACCGCGCGGCCATGGGCCGAGCGCGGTTCTAGAT